TCATGCTTTTGCCAGTGAAACTATGTACTGTGTTGCTTAATTCTTGCAGTTATAATTGTGTAACATCTTTGTCTTGTAGGATACTAATGAAGATTCCAAGTACTATTATTTGTGGGCGTAACAGACACTTGTGCAAACAGTAGACTGCTGTACTATTATCATATAATCTTACAACACAAGACCATAAGAAAAATTTGAGGAGGCCATTTAACCTATCTTGCTTAGTTTGTTGCATCTAAAGTACAGTAGTTGTATATGATTGAGCCAAGAATCCCATCCTGTTATTTCTTGGAACATTCCAGCGAATTGCCTTCAACAGCTAACTGACAGTTTATTTCATATCCATAAATCTGTTGCATAAAGAAGTTCTTTCTGATTCTTCTGATTCCAGACCCAAATTCAATCTCCCTTAGATGATATGCTTGTAGATGATATGCTTGTTGACGATGATTGTGACTCCTTAACCTCAGATTTGGCTGGGTTCCTTACAAACTGCAAAAACAGTTACTCCCATCTGTGACTGTAAACATAACAATGATATTAATTTCAGATTGCATGTTATTTCTTTTTCTATAGAGAGCATGACATCCTTTCCCTTTCCCGCTTCTTCAGTATAGATTTAAGTGCTTTGCAGTGAATATTATATCGCAGACCTCTTCCAAGGAATCTCATGTAAGTAAAGCATAGCGTAACGTTGTGTAACCATTTCTTTAAAAAAAAACACTATCTGCTGAGGAGATTTAGTGTTGTTTTTTTTTTAATGGCTCAGTTTTTTCCCGGACACTTTAATAACATGTTTCTGGGTAAGAGATTATAGAAGTATGTGTAGTATGTGTGATTATAAAGACATTACAGAGTTTATATACAGTGAAGTATTAACATACAACAAATGAGTACTGGAACCAATAGAATTTGTTGTATTTAATGCCTCTCAGTATATTTCAAGAGCCTTGTGAACTGTTTATCACCTTGGGTGGTAGTACTGTCTGATACACTCTTGATCTGGTTGCTAGCTGGTGACAGTTTTGCTTAAAAAGAACTCTGATCTGATAACTTGATGACATCATCATGTTTACTGATAAGATCCAAGGGCAGCAGAATCATATTAAGGCTTCCGGCATGCAATCCTGACTTTTTTTTTTAATCCGATAAAGCAGATTTTTTTTAAATCCATAAAATAAAGGATTTGGGCTACTTGTGTAACAGCTAAAATGTGGGATAGATATTTCCAATCCATCTAAAAGACATACTGTATGATGTTATTTTTCCAAGTTTTAAATGTGTAAAGCTTCATTCAATAATAGTTACACTAGTTGGGAAAAAAAGGTACAGTACATAAACTGCAGTTACGTTTGATTTTGAGTCTGCTTAGTGTAGTGTCTGTAAATTTCCAGTATACTTTATAATAAAATAATCAAGCACTTTAATAAACCCAGTTTAAAACTTGGGAAAGATAAGAAACATTTTCTTTCAAGATTCATAATATCCATTCATCCATTTTCTAACCACTTCTGCCAATTCAGGGTTGCGTGAGAACCAGACCCTATCCCTGCAAGCAACAGCACACCTTGAATGGGGAGCCAGTCTATTGCAAGACAGAGACACACACATAGCACCCATAGGCACACATACACAGCTAGGGCCAGCTTTCCCAGAATCCAGTTCACCTACCGACTGTGGGAAGAAGCCGGAGCACCTGGAGGAAATCCACATCAACAGAGGACAAACACAGATAGTGCTCCAGATCAGGAACTCAGATCCTATGCGCTGCAAGGCACCAATGCTAACCACTGCGCCACCATGCTGTTCCAGATTCGCAATGCATATGGCTTTATTTAATAAAATGTTGTTGTTGACATCATACATAGTACCTCTAGGTCTCCTTTACTATCCTAATCTTCTTTGTTTAAAATCAAAATGGCTAAATGGATGCTGAATATCGCTGTCATTAGATGAGCTGCTTGTAAGAGGCCATTGTTTATCCTTATCCCATTCCTACTGTTCTGTTAAAACATTTGTAATTTTCATAGTATTTATTACATTGTCATATTAGCTACAGTCACTCATTCATCAGATGTTCCATCAAGTCTGGGGCCCCTGGTCTACATGCAACAAATTTAAAACTGAAAACCAAAATGTGCCGAAGAAAATTCAAATTGTTCATTAACTATGACCTTATTTTTTCATTCATGTCTATTTATTCTGCCATATGTGCTAGGAGCTTGAACCAGTGCTCTTCGTTTTTGTTGCATAGTGAAATGAGTGAGAGTATTTTTTTTAGCTAGACTTGGGACATTGATTTCTGTATTGTTTTAAAACAAAACAGCAAAGTAGAATATTCTTGCCAGTTTGATCTTTAAGTAGAAAAGGTTGACAAGAAACCGGCAAAAACAAATGTTTGTCATGCACTGTATATATGTAGAACTTTTCATGTACAGTATTATTATATGTTTTATGATATTTTTTGCTTCTCATTCATACCATTAGCCATGGACTTTCAAATAATTAACAATATTGATTCTTCATTGGTATATACAGATGTCAAGTGCCTGACAAGAGGTGTACCAGTGTTGAACATACATTTTGTAGGATTAAACTATTAAAATTACTGCAGCAGGAGTGAACAGGCTAAAAGACTTAATCCCACAGCTTCAACTTCAATCATATGGTGAGTCATGGGACACAGCACCAGACAGACATATTAGTATCACAAGTCAAAACCTGCCTGTTTCACCCCAGGACAATAGCTGGCCTGTACTGAGTTTATGGCAAGTCAACAAGTGCCTACATGCTGTTCTTATCAGAAGATTTCCCAGCAAATACCTTAATAACAGATGTGATAAACATTCCATGAACAATCTTCTTTCCTTCATATTTAACGTATTTGTTTCAAACTTATCATTAAATGGTGGGATATAGAAAAATCACATCACATGATCCATGGCAGTGGGACATAGTGTAGTACGTCATTTCTCCCATCCTGGCCTCAGAAGATGCCCCTTGGATCAAACTACAAAACAAACTCTAGTCTCCTCAGCTGAGAGCAGGAATCATAGTTTGTTGATTTTTTAGTTCAGTTTTCATCCCTGGCGAGTTATTTAAGTACAGGTCAGTAAAGGTCTGTTTTAATTTCCCTGCTTACTGAGAAATCTTTCAAACTTTCCTTAACAAAACTCGCAACAAAGTTGGGAGCATTCAGATTAGTTTTTACTTTGGCAGAAATAAGTATACTAACTACACTCAACAGATATAATATCAGAACAGACTTAGAGCAAGATTGAATTTTTGGTGAGTTTAATTCAACTCTGAAAACCATTAATGTTTTGTTACCTAGGTACAATCTGTAAATAGTATTTGAGAAATACAGTACAGTACATCATAAATAGCTATTAGTTCTTACCCACATCTATTTTCTCTCTTACTTTTCTTCTGCATATTTTTAAAATAATTATTTCAAGAGCTTAAGTCAACCTTGTAATTTTGAGTAGTTTGTGATTGCCTAGTTATCATACTTGTCTGAGGGAACAACAGCCTGGTCACAGGTCCAAACCTACTTACCCTTTCCCTTCTTGATGGTATGAGACAATGAACATTGCTGTAAGGTTGGTTACCAGAGTGGTGGAAGTATTCAAAATCACAAATGCACATAAAACAGGTTTTTTTTACTACCTACTGTACAGTCAGATATAATGGGCTAATGCTCAAAATTGTCTTCTCTGTTGAGTTTGAATGTCTCAGCACTACTGTATGTTCTGCAAAATGGGATTTTGTTGCAAGTAGAAATATAAAATGTTTTTATTCAATCCGTGACATGGGTAAACTCTATTTGTTTCTCAGTGCTTACAAAGCCGTCAGTGGTTTCAGACTCTTGGTCATATGGAACAAGCAATGTTGTTAAAGCCGACTCTGACATCTTTCAAGAAACAGCTGGATGAGATTCTTGGGTCATTTACTGTAGCTAATGAACCCAAATGATCTGGAAGTGTTAAATTGCCCTCTCTCATGTACATGTATAGACTTTATGTTTTATTTGTGATTTCTGTATCTCCTGAAAGGTGTAATTTTTATGACTTTTTCTCATTTTTAATAGATAGTAATATTCAAGGGAAAAGGTTTATCAGATTTTCACATTACGGTTCAACTGCTTTCAGTCACAAACAGTCCAACTGTTTATGTTGTTGTGACGCTAGTGCCTGAGGGGGTATTTTTTCTTCCTTTAGTTTTCTCAGTACTGTTTTGTTTCATTAATTTATTCTTTTTCCAACACAAAACTCTGTTGACAAGAGAGATATCAGTAAAGGCTGTGTATAAAGTACATGTGCTGTGGCACTCTGTACTGCTTACTGTGAAACAAGGACCGGTTAAAAAAGCGACTTATACTGTAGGTGTTTTCTCACATGCTGGAGAGAAAGTCAGCATTCAAAAGCTTTTGACTTGGTGCTAAATTCCTGAAGTCCTTTTAACTTAAAAGAAGCTCTAATCTAACTTCTCAAAACTCCAGTCTAGAGAAGAATGTATTCATTCCTGATTTCCATGCCTGTGCTACTATATTTTTATTGGTCATCAGGTTAAATTGCTCTAGGAAAAAATAGAAAATGTGCAGAATATTTGCTGTACAGTATGTTGAAAGGAACTTCCATACATCAAAGGTTTATATCAGTAATAACATGAGGTAATTGATGTGTTGTTGGCTGTTTTTGGAAAAGGCCAGTGCTTTAATACATACAGTATTTGAAGGTCTTTTTAATTTGTTGCTTTTTGCATTTTTCTATGTGACGAAATGCCAAATTGATTCTCTCTCTCTCTGATTTTCTATGTATTCTTTCAGCAAGCTACCTTGTTAAACAGTTAATCTATCCATCACCTTTGTGTATTGCTGTAATTAATACAATAATAAACATCTTTTGTAACCATCCCACAGGTTCTGTGAGCCAAGCAATGGCATGATCAATGATGTACTAATAGCGATCGCACACCGTCTCTTGTCTTTTTTGTATCAGCTTTGATGTTGAAAATGGCCCTTCACCAAGTCGCAGTCCTTTGGATCCCCAGGCTAGCCCAGGCTCGGGGCTTGTCCTGCACACCAACTTCCCTGGGCACAGCCAGCGCCGCGAATCCTTCCTGTACCGCTCCGACAGCGACTATGACCTCTCTCCCAAATCCATGTCCAGGAACTCGTCCATCGCCAGTGAACTGTAAGATATAACCTTAACCTGTCAATCCCCCTCTATACAGTAACTCTTCACACAGTGCAAATTCAAATCTCACACCTTACTGTCCTCATGATTTCTTCTTACTGTATACTGTATATATATATATTACCGTCTGCACTAATGAGCCCGATTACTTCTTCTACAGTACTATAGTAAAAAGATAAAATAATTCATCTTCATTTATATACAGGACTGCATTTAAGTGAGAATATCGTATGTCTTAGTCCAAGAGGTTTTCTTGATTTACAACTACACAATTAACCTGAAAGCAAGATCAGATAGTTGACTGATAGCTGATAAAGATCTGTAGTTATTAAAAGTACAAATAAAGAACTATGGTAGATAACAAAGCATTTTTTTTTGTTTTTTCGCAGACATGGAGATGACCTGATAGTCACACCTTTTGCTCAGGTAAATCGTCTTGAAAGTATTGCCAAATAATGGATGGATTTGCCATGATTTTAAATCTTTAAAATTGTCCTCATAAACTGTGTAGTTTTTAAAGTCTTTTCTAAATAAGACATTAATGCTCTTTTTTAGGTACTTGCAAGTCTTCGTAGCGTAAGAAACAACTTCACTGTCCTCACCAATGTACAGTGTGCCTCAAACAAGTAAGTAATGAGTGTAATTGAGGAAATAAAAGGCTGTTTTGTTGTTACAATTTCTTAGTGAATATCAGTTTCAGCAGAATATTAAGGTTCAGTTCATTGTTTCACCTGTATATTGTAAAAATACTATGTGTTTTAAGATTATCCTTTTATGTGATCTGAGTAAGTGTTCATAAAGCAAACAAGAAATTATATAAGAAACTATAAAAAAAAAGTGTAGCTGTGAACAGCAGATTCCACCAGAGGGCAGCAGAACGTTTCAGGCTTCTCAGAACAGTTTGAGTAACGAAACTGTTGAATGTGACAAATGTTAATCATCATAATGAATTCACCTACAGTATATAATTCTCTGTTCAATAAAGTGTCGGTAAACCTACTACAAAAGGACATGTAACTTTCCTAATGATAACTTTGTGAATTTGTAGTAGATGTAAGTGAATGGTTTCTTGATCTGTATATTGTCTTATATAGTATGTATTCAGTGCCTAAGTAAAGGTAGGTTACTAATCCATCTTTATTAAATTTATTGCAAAGTACTGTACAGCTTCTGGAATCTTACTTTTAAATTTTTCATTTCTTTTAACATCTTGGCTTGCAATTTCCTGCTCTAAGGGATGACTAGGAATAAAGACAGTGTAGGCTTCAAGCAGATTATAGTAATTCTAATGATTGTTGTGTTAGAGGAACCAGAGTTGTAAGAGTGCAAAATCCACTTGTAGGTCCTTTATGCAGACGAATCCAGAGTGTGCCAACGGTCCAGTATTAACGTGTATGTTACAGATAATCTTTTGGTTTTCAACACTACCTTTACTTTAGGTTAAAATTAGATTGTCTAAAATGAGTGTTAATCAGATTAAATTAGCCATGAATATTAGTACAGTATGCATAGCATGTACAATTTGCAGTGTCCTGCTATAGAAGCTTAATTAACTGAATGCCAACAACATTCCATAAAGCCAAGTGTCTACTGTAGGTCTGAAACACTTTTTTGTAGAGGCAGTAAAAATGCAACATATTGGATTTGCAGTGTCATTTGAAAAAATACAGTACTGTTATTCGAAAACTAGAATTACCTACGTTTCTCCAAAAATCATACTACAACAAATACCGTATGTTGAGATCTCATGTAAACCGATACCATTTTAATGTTCGTTTTATTGGATATTATTAAAGCAAACTCAGTGAGATGTACAGTACAACATTTTATATTAATGTTGGGTGGCTCTGTGGCTAAGGATCTGCACCTGTGGCTGGAAGGTTGCCGGTTCAAATCCTGCAGCTAGCAGAGGAATCCTACTCCACTGGGCCCCTGAGGAAGACCCTTAACCCCAACTGCTCCAGTTGCGCTGTTCAATGGCTGACCCTATGCTCTGACCCCAAGCTTCTCTCTCCCTGTCTGATGGAGAGCAAGCTGGGGTATGATAGAAGATGAATTCCTAATGCAAGAAATTGTAGAGGGCTAATTGAGTTATGTTATGTTAATTTTTATCCTAATGAAATTCTCTGTTTTAGATGGTTTGATGGCTATACTGCGGTAAGCCTCAGTGTCCTATTCATCTGGTAATGAAGAATAAATGTGGTGCAGTGTTCTATGTTGTCTGTAAGGGGAAAAATGACAATTTGAGGCCATGACTATCATTGTTTTTGTTTTTTCAGGAGGTCTCCTGCAGCAAGTCAGCCACCTGTCACAAGAGTGTGCCTGCCAGGTAGGGTTGTTACTTGAAATTCCCATAAATAAAATATAAAATCACCTCCAGGTGATCAAGCCAATATATCATAGATGCATAGATGATATGCATATAGGCATAGATGAAAAGAGTGCAGTGTGGTTCACTAAGGTTAAGGGGATCATCATTATAGTGATTCAAGGGACTTTTGTAACTAAAGTAGTTGCTTCTTCTGATTGCTGTTCAGTATATGTCAAGCTGCAAAGATGTACAGTGCACAGAACATGTTAGGCCTCTTCAGAGGTGTTTAAGTCAAACAAATGTGCAGAATGTCAGAATATATGGCTTTTTAATTTTTTTTTTCTGATGTGCATATTGAGTAACACGTTGCTAGTTTCAAATGAATAATTTCTATTAAAAGTGTTTTACTCATTGGAGTTTTATGTTAACAACACATTTATCTGAAGTGCATGTTTCTTAAGAGTACTTGAAGCTGCCATAGACTTCCATTGTGATGCGCTGTACGTGACAGGGTACACTCTTGAACTTGTAACCTTACCTAATCACTCATCTACAATCACTGACACTCCTAATACAGTAATTATGCATCCACCATTGTGCCAGGGATGGCTTTTATTTTGTCTTCATGGCACTAAAAAAGAGTTAAGGAAGTTGTCTTATTGTCCGACACCAATACCCCCAAAGCACTTTCATTTAATGTATCTATTTTAGGACAAAATGGATCCATTTAACCTTGTACTGGCCCACAGAGAACTGATGCAAGAACATAGGCTACAGAAATTGTAGGATGTGTATGATCAGGCAAGCACTACACAGCAAATCCCAAATAGCTCAGTATAACTTCTGTGTAAAGGCTGCAGGGTTTATCACAAAGTAAATTTATAAATATGGCATATATTTATTTTGCAGTCAATTTTTCAGATTGTACTCCAGTCCTGATCTTCCTAGCATGTCCACTTTGCCTTGAGAGGGAGGGCTTCATATACACATACATAATTGAGCATTTGCTGTATATGGGACGTTGCATGCTTGGTAAAACAGATTTTGATATGCTTTTGAATGAGTGCAGAGAAAATATTTAGTAGTGTTGTTCATTTTATTCTCTTGACTCTAGACTGATGAGACTTTTTTATTTTTTGTTTATTAATGTCATTGGGAATCTTTGAAGTATAAGGAAAATTGTTCAAGCCATTCAAAGACATGTTTTACAATTTCACGAGGTAGTGAAATATTTCAAACCCCAGTGAATCTCAAACTAAACAGAAACAAGACTGTTTTACAGTGTTTAATGGAGCCTTTTGAATCCTAGAATACATTGAAGTTTTAACACAAAGAATCCGTTGTACTACTACATGATAGAAGTGAGGGTGAAGTTGGGGATTCATTTTCCTGTCAGCTACTGTTGTCAGCCCTTGATTCACAGCCTCATCAACCTGAATTGACGTCATCTTGGTAGCATGTGGGTTTTGTTGACTTCCTATAAACACAGATGGACAGACAGTTGCATCCTGCACAGGAAAATGAGAGCAGATCAGCTAATGGTAAATAAGCAGACTGTTGTTCATTTCTGTAAGTGGTTTTCAGGTATTAGAACATTTTTTTAGGTTATGAATGAAGCATTGCGGTGAGCATTTTTAAATGTTAGTTGCTTTGCTAAAATACCTAGTGTAAAATAGTTCATAAAGATCTATTTCCAGTATACAGTGTGTGTGTATACACCATACAAAGTTATATATGTGTTTGTGTGTCTAAGTATCCACATGCCTTGGAATTATAGTACATTTGTACAATTTCTGTTCTTTCTACACGTCAACATTCTTATTTCTCTTTACAAACATCTCAGATAAACAAAGTGCATCTTGCAAAATGGTGTAACTCCCCCCCCCCCACCATCCCAAACGCCGACATCACTGCTGATAGAGAAAATAAGGAAAGGGAAAAACTGATTTCCTGTTCAGTGCTGAGCTTTGTCTTCTATGTCAGCTTGACAAAGTGTAAGAGCAGGAAAGGACTACAGATTTTTCCTGTTTTTGTGCAACTGACATAACCTGTTGGATGAAACAGTGGTTGTTTTTCAAAAACCAATTAACAAACTACCTGTCAGTTAACATACCGGGAATGTTATTACCGTGTATGGAGTTTCTGTGTGGCCACATTAAACCTTTCGTTTTAGAGATACACTTAAAATAAATGGGATGATGAAATGTAATGTAAAGTTCTAGCTACAATATATCTATATATGCACTGAGTTCTAGCAGAAATCAAAATCTTGTTTTTTTAATACTCAGGATACTTGTTTATGAACACTTGACATTCTTCACATTTAACTTTAAAATATGATTTACTTAGAAAGGGAGAAGAATAGGGGTTAGACAAACAAATTATCAAAGATAATAGTGCAGTTATATGACTTTTGACATTTTTGTTTAGAAAACCTGCTTTGAAACATGGAACATAGTTTACATGATGTTGTTTTGATTTCAGAGATGAGATTGGATTGCAAATGTTGTTCAAATATATTTTGGTATGAAGATAAAGGGTCTAGAAGAATTTCTCAAGTCCAAACAAGTTAAATCTCCATAATCTATGTGGTAATATGTGGTAGATCAAATTCATTCAAAATACGTAGTAATTCTGTCCTAATTCCAAAGGAAAAAGCACTTTGGTTTTATGAACGCAAGTTTCAAAACGAGGATTGTGGTGGATGTTTGCAGTGTTCGACAATTTCCGTCAAGGCTAGATGAACACACATTGAGTAACAAAATGTCATTAGTTTCATTTGCCAATGGAAATTATTTGTTTAAGTGGCACCAAAGTAAACCTGCTAAAAAGTTTGCATGTGCATGAAACGTTTTACCACAATCAGTTGATTTCTTTTCAAAATTGATTAGAAAAGAAACTAATCTAATAAAACAAAATCGTCAGTCCACAATCGTATTCTTATTATTCATTGTTCTCTTCCTCAGGTTTTCGTTTAGGCTAATTAAAAAATCTGTTGAGTCTCTGCCTACGTGCAGTATGCTTGTGCCTAGATGATAGGAACCTCTCGAAATGCATGAGTACTATACTCTTTGTGCTTTGTAATGATATATTAAACCTCTGTCCCAATTTACTGTGCAGCATGTGTTTCTGTATCTAGCCTTTATTTACCTGTGTAAAAGTGACTTGCTTCCCTATGGTCCTGCCCTTTTTCAGAGCACGTGCCCAGGGGTCAGCTTTACAAATGCAGCATTGTGTTTAAAGGGCAGATAAGTTTATGAACACTAATGCCGGTAGCCAGCACCTGCTGAAAGTATGTTAACAATCTGTGTTTGAGCTGAACTGTGTTTGAGGGGTGGCTTTCTGCTAGTGGTGGGACGTGATGTTGTGCTCGCACTTCAGTCTATGGTCTGAAAAGTCAGGTGCTTCGTTGGCATGGTCATGGGGAGAATAGTGAAAAAAAATGTGGGGTTATAAATTTTTGGATCTCTATCTTTTGAGGAAAGTGCAACCATAAAGTACATAGAGACTGTTCATCCATTTTCTAACCACTTCTTCCAATTTAGGGTCACGGGGAGCCGGAACCTATCCCAGCAGGCAACGGGCACAAGGCAGGGATACTAGTCCATCGCAGGGCAGTCACAGAGGCAGACATGCACACACTCACACCTACTGCAGGCAGAGGAATCCTACTCCGTTAGGCCCCTGAGCAATACCCTTAACCCCAACTGCTCTAGGGGCGCTGTATAAATGGCTGACCCTGCGCTCTAACCCCAAACTTCTCTCCCTGTCTGTGTCTCAGGGAAACCAAGCTGGGATATGCAAAACAGACAAATTCCCTTTTGCAAGAAATTGTATATGGCAAATAAGAGTGATCTCTTATCATATCTTAAAAAGTGACAATTAAAAGTCGATTCCCGAAGCTTGATTGTTTGCTAGTTATAATCACTGTTTATTGAGTTTGCAAAAGCATTCTTTCATGTTTTGAACTAACTAAAAGAACTGAGGAATTGAGGAGGGCAATTGCTGTCCAGAGATCAATTTTATGAATAAGGCATGTATAATGATGCATGTATATTTGTTAAATATTGAAACAAGGCAAAGGTGAGAAAATCCTGTGTAATGTTGACTACAGCAAGTATGCTTAATTAGCACATGAATAAACATTATAAATGCACTATGGCTCTATTCTTGTAAGTGAACAACAAAACGTCTCATTTTGATTTACATGGATGATGTTCATTTGGTTATTCAGTGAAAATTGCGTTTTGTGAGGGCAGCTGCTGCATCCTTTGTGAGTTCTTCAAAATGACGTCCGTTGTTGTTAATAAAACTATGCGATCTCCTTAGGTTATCATCCAATTCTGAATTAATCAGTAAGGTCTTTATGTGTTGGTATGCCTCCTCACTTGTTTTCTCACTGAACACAAAGGATACATTATCAGATCATTCAAAAGGCCTCAGATGCTCAGCAATGACACGGTTGGCTCTCTCCATATGAGAGTAAATTACTAGCTATTGCACAGACAAGAGCAATCCCCTGGATTGTGAAAGACCCTATGTTGTGTCTGTTGCATGTCTGTGTACTAATTATAAGTCTCTTCCATCCTGAGTCCATTCAGCTTTCCTGGGGATATACAACATTACTGGAAAGAGGAGCTGTGCTGCCTGCTGGTAAAAGCTATTTGACAGGACTGAGGGAAAATACTCAGTTGGAATTCTTTAATTCTTTTTATCCATGAGGTACTTTTTAAAATGGTACAGTGATTTAAAATATAAAGCAGTTGGAAGTTATTATATAACAATATAAAAAATCTCTACAAAAGTTCAATATTTGTTTTTCCAGTGCAGTCTTCTGGAATCATACATTTAGCACAGTTGTTTAATTAGGTTAGGGTCAGGTCACCGGACTGGTCAAGGATAGTTATTTGATTGCTCTATAACGAGTGATCTGCAGACCCAATAGAATTCGAAAATATATGGTCGCACTCTAAAAACCAAACATTTTCAGCATACAGTGTGTAAGTTGCACAGTGCAC